GTGAAAAAGATTATGAAGGAAAAGAAGGGCGTGAGGAGGGTTTCGTCATTTTCAGGTCTGGAAAGTCACGTCGGTTTAGGGACAGTCAGTCACAGGATTATTAATGAACTTCCTGGAAAGTTGCTCTCTTCTGAGTTATCACTTTAAAATGGTGTGGGTGTTGTTAGGCACTGATGTTATCAGCATCTTCAGAAGAAACAAAATTATCTTAAGCATTAAGCAGCACATTGGCAAGGCCTCGAGGAATGTATACAGTGCATTAAACCAACCTGTCAGGTCAAAGCCTAAGGAGAAGGGGTCCTGTCATGGGCCCTGACTCACGCCCCAGCTCATTTGTGAATTTAGACTCAAGTGAGTTCCCTAGCAGATGAGCAGCTGTCTGGTCCCACAGCATAATCTCTGGTTAATGTATCCAGAAGAACATGGGCCCTTGCTCTGGCCTCCAGTCCTTATGGATGGGGGCCAGATGGGACATTTATGTAGATGGGGAGATTTTAAAAAAAGATGGTAGTATAAAATGAGTCTTTATACACATGGAGGGGAGATAGAGCCCCCCTTTATATATTGGAAGAGAGATAGTCTTTTATTTATTTAAAAAATTTATTTATTTATACAAGAGCTGGGGTACAGGCCAGAGGCGTGGGAAGGTGAGAGGATTCTCCAGAGTCAGAGTAGAACTGGCAGACGGATCGAAAACACTGCTGAGGGGAGCAGCGGGGAAACAGGAGAGGTCTGCTGCGCCATGTGGGTATCTCCCTGGCTGGCTGGGAATCGAACCCGCGTTGTAGAGGCTGTGGGCAGCTACCCAGCGCTGTGCTCAACCCGCTGCGCCACTGGGGAGGCCCAATAAAAAGCCTTTTAAAGTTGACATTTTGGTGTAACTTGACCAGGGGAACTTGAGTTAAGAGAGATTAGGCCTAGGGGAAGATAGAGGCCCAATTTGGGTCCAATTCGCTAGGCTGGAGTTTTGAAAATGACTTATTTTTGAGGAAATCACTGTGTCTCTCAATTGAAGGGCCTCCCAGGGACAGGGAAGTTTGGTTGACCGTCTTTCCCGGAGCCTGGTACCAAGTGCTCTGAGGAATAATAGATACTTTTCCAAAGAGGATATACAGGCGGCCAACAGATAATTGGAAAAATGTTCTGCCTCATCACTTCTTACTGGGGAAACAAAAGTCAAAACCACAACGAGATAGCATCTCACACCTGTGAGAACGGCTCACATATAAAGACTGTTAGCAACCAGCGTGGGCGAGGAGCGGGGAGCCCTGGGAAGTTCTGCAGTGTAGGTGGCAGTGTCACTTGGTGCAGTCAGTTGGGAAATTGATACGGACCCTCCTTGAAAAACTAAAAACACACAGCGCCTACAACCCAGTAGTACCAGTTCTGGGCATCTCTCTGAAGAACATGAAGCCACCAACTTAAAGGATTATATGCATCACCATGTTTATTGAAGCATTAGTCACAGCAGCTAAGATGTGGAAGCAGCTAGAAGCCCACGATAGGACTGGTTAAAGGAGATGTGCCCGACACACAGTGGAACACTTCAGCCATCAGGAAAGATGAAATTTGGTCATTTGCTACAACATGGGAGGAATTCGAGGGGATTATGCAAAGGGAATGTAGTCAGAAATAGACAAATATTGGATGATTTCACCTATACATGCAATATATGGAAATAAAGTGGATGGATGGGCAAAACAAAACAAAAATAACAAGTAACAAGAATGAACGAGTGGACATTGACAAATGAACTGGTGTTGCCAGAGGTGAAGAGGGCAGGTGGGTTGGCCTGGGGGTCAAGGTAAAGGGGTATAGTGGATGGCGGTGGGCGTTTTGCTTTTCATTTTGTTTTGTTTTTCTCTGAAAGAAAAGAGTCCCTGCTTTCCACTGTCAATGGAAACGAACAACGACTAAATATATGTATACACAGACATACTGCATAGATAGAAGTTAACTTCATTAAAAAAAAAAAGCTATTTTTAACTATAGTTTTAGATTTAAAAACCTGTGAAGATAATACTGACAGTTCACATGGTCTCCAAACTGTTTTCCTTTCAGTTTTTTAAAAGATTTATTTATTTATGCGTATAAGAGCTGAGGTACAGGCCAGAGGTGTGGGGATGGTGGTGAGAGGATTCACCAGTGACAGAGTGGGGAACAGAACAGGCAGACTAACTGAAATACACTACTGAGGGGAGCAGCAGGGAGTCAGGAGAGGTCTGCTGCGCCATGTGGGTTTCTTCCTGGCTGGGGATCGAACTTGTGCTACAGTAGCAGCGGACAGCTTCATAGACTGCGTCTTAACCCCTTGTACCACCAGGGAGGCCCTCCTTTTAGATTTTTAAGATTTATTTTATTTATTTCTGAAGATTTATTTTTATTTGTTTATGATTACAAGAACTGGGGTGTAAGCCAGAGGTGCGGGAGGCTGATGAGAGTGTTCACCAGCGACAGAGTGGGGAGCAGAACAGGTGGACCTGTTGTAGAGCAACCCCGATAAAAAACGGGGTGCCTGACTGTGGGTCCTCACCCACACACTTAAAAGGACTTATCAATGCTCTACTGCAGGCACACACAAAAGGTTAATAAAGGTTTATTTACAAGAAAAGGAAAAACAAAAAAATGTACAGCTCAAAAAAAAAGTGAAAAACAAAGTTTTAAATGAGTCCTACCCAATCCGCCAATCAGAAATCCCAAAATGGCGCTCTAAAAGCTGGCCGCGAGCCAGGAACTGTGTAGCCAGGAGGTGAGCGACAGCGAACCCCACCAAGGCCCACGTGTTTGGTTTTTATATCCAACCTGACTGCCCAACTCCACCCTCAGGTCCCAGCCACCCACCCTTTGGTGGTGATGGGATTTGTCTTTCCCAATGTCCTGATGGCTTTAGTCTGGAGTGGGGTGGGGTCCACAAAGCCTGTATGGGATTAGCTCAGGACATCCTTTCCCCCTAACAGACCCACTGAAATCCACTGCTGAGGGGAGCAGCAGGGAGACAGGAAAGGTCCGCTGCGCCCTGTGGGTCAGCTCCCTGGCTGGGGATGGAACCCAGGCCTCAGTGGCTGGTGATAGCTTGATAGTGCTGAGACTTTAATCCCTGAGACTTTAACCAGGGAGCCCCCTCCTTTATTTAGTTGTTATTTTTATTCCCCCCTCCCAGATGTTCCCCTGTTCCTTTCCCTCCCCCTCCGCCTTAACCTCAGAGCCCTCGGGGTATTTGCTGAAGTCCTTTCTCATGGCTAAACACTTGATTTCCTCTAATATCTGAACATATAGTGCACCTCTTAGGATAAATGGACCAATATTCATTATTAACCGAAGTCAGACGTGATTTGAATCCCTGTGGATTCACGTGGCGCCCTTTCCTGCCGCAGGACTCCACATCACACGCAGCACCTGCTTTCTCATCGCTGTGGCTGGATGTGGTGGGAGATGAACTCCAAGCAAGTTCATTGTGAGCGATTCCTGCCCACCAGCCAACCGCAGGGAGGCTGCTGGACCAGGGCGCCTGGACTTTGAATCCACTCCCACGTGGGTCCCCTGGGCCTGTCTTTTCCCTGTGCCCTCTCTGGCCCCACTCTCGTCTGTGCAATGAAGGCCTGGATGGCTGCCACGGGGTGGGGTGGGCCTGGGGTACACATGTGAGGGAAGTTTTCTGGGTGTCCTGGGTGGGGGGCACTGACAGTCGTGGGGGTGTCCCTGAGAGCAGCTGGGACCCACCCTGACCTCACTGAGGGCAAGGTGGGGGCCGGTGCTCTGACTTAGGGCGCTCAAGTCCAGGGTCAGGGCCCACAGAGCTTTGCTGTTTTCCCCAAGACTGTCTTGTTTCTCTGTAAAGTGGTGACTGGCGGGGCCGCTTCTGAGGGTCCCTCTGGCTGGGACGAGCGCAGGGTCACCGTTTCTGGGGGTGAGCAAGCCACACGTGCAGCGGCAGCGAGGCGGGGGGGCCTCTGCTCAGCTGGGGGGGTCCAGCCTCTGCGTCCACCCACTGCCCACACCCCGCTCAGGCAGAGGCCCGGCTCCACGGCTCCACGGCCTTCCTCCCGGCTCCTGCCGGCCTGCCCTGCCCCTGGGCTGTGGAAGGGCCGCCGCTGTCCACAGCCCCTGCCGGGGACGTCCAGGATGGGGGTGGCGCTCACATCATCGCGGGCCAGCCCGCCCCGCCTTCCCAGCACGCGGGCCCGGAGCCCCCGGCGCGCCCCACGCGCCAAAGAAAAGGGGGAACAGAGGACCCCAGAGGTGAAAATAAGGCGCCCTGAGCCTCCAGGCCCCCCACACGGACGCTGCGTTCCAGCTACTTTCCAGGCCCTTCCCAAGTTCTGCGCCTCCGCAGTGGCCGCTCGCTGGCCCCGGAGCCCCCAAGCCCGCCCCCCGCGCAGCCCGGCGACCCGCCCCCCGCCCCGCGGGAGCCCGTCCGGGCCGGGCCGCCCCGGCGGGCGTCGCGCTCCCCGCCCGGGTCCCGGAGCCGCGCGGCCCAGGGCGCTCCCGGGGCCGGGGCGGGGCTGGCCGCCCGCGGGGTGCTGGAGCCGCCGCCGGCCCCGCGCGCCGCGCAGGAAGGGGCGGGCAGGGGAGCGCGGCCGGCCGTGCCGGGCCTGTCCTGCCGCCCGTAGCCGGCGCCGTGGCCTCCTTTCGGCTCCCGCCCTCGCCCTCCCGCGGGCGCGCCCGTCACGCCGTCCGTGGGGCAGGGCCGCGGGCGCACCCCCGGGGGCGGCTGGCGGCGGAGGCTGGGGTGGGGCGCGCTGAAGCCCACGACGCCCCGCGGGCGGCAGCATTCGGGGCCCGGGACCCGCGCGGGTCGCTCGCCGACGGCCGCGATTCTACCCGAGGTAGCCCGGGACGTGCCGGAGCCACCGCGCCCCGCCCGGATGCGGGCGGTCCCCGCGGCCGCCCCCACACCTGGCCCCGCCCCCGCCGGAGGCCACGCCCCGGGGTCCCCCACTTGAGCCTCGCGCGCCGGCCGGGCGGCAGGTGCAGCCGAGCCGAGTCGTGCGCCGCGCGCTCCGAGACGCGCCCCCGGCCCCGCCATGGGCAACAGCGCGGGCCGCAGCGACTTCGAGTGGGTCTACACCGACCAGCCGCACACGCAGCGGCGCAAGGAGATGCTCGGTGAGGCCCCGGCCCCGGCCCCGCGGCGAGGGCCACCCCGAGGGCGGTCGGAGCCGCCCGCGCGCGCGCGCAGGGGCTGTTGCTGCGCGCCCGGAGGCTCTGCGGGCTCTTCCCGACCCCCGCTCCTCCGCCCCTCCGCCCCCAGCACCCCCGCCCGGGGTCCCCAGGGCCTCCCCGCCCCGGCTTGGATCCCCTGGTGTGTCAGCCTCGTCTGGGATCCGGACCCCAGTGGGGATCGGCGCGCGCCAGGGAGCGCGTCCCGGCCGCTGCCTCCCGGCCGAGGGACACCGCCTACTCGCAGGGCAGGTGCTCCGCGTCCCTCGGGGCGCCTCGGGGCGCCGCGCGGGGTGCGCGCCGGTGAGGCAGCTTCGCGGTGGTCTGTCCTCCGCCCGCGGGGCACCTGCGTGCGGACCTCCGGGTCCCGCGGGCCCCCCAGAAGCCCCCAGTCCCCCGGAGTACTCAGGAGCCCGCGAAGAATGCACAGGAGCCCCAGCTCAAACCTTGTACCCCAAACCCGTCCATTCTGCCCCATCTTCAGAGCTCGACACGCAGGGGCCTGCCTCTGTCATTTAGGGTCGCGGCAGCCTTTTTTACCGACATGGCCCCCCACTCTGCCTCCTCTTTCATGATCCACATCGCCAGCTCCGCAGGGGCGTCTCCGAAGAGCCACAAGTCCATCAGGGCGAAAGCCAGAGAACAGCTTGTAGTGGTTGCGGGTTGGGGGGGGCACTCCCCACCAGCTCCTGCGCCCCCAGCAGAGCTGTCCCCCTACAGGTGACAGTGGTGTCGCCGTACCCTCAGGTGCACTGGGGCTGGCAACCGTCACCAATGAGAGCGACAAGTGACACCTTTTCTTTGACGGTTTAAATGGCATTTGTCTGATGGTTGGTTTCATTGTTGAACAGGTGTTTAAATTTTCTTCTCTTGGGTAGTTTTTGCTTGTTGGTACTTCCAGCCTTTACTTAGGCGACGTTTGTCTTTTGTGTAGCAAATATTTCCCCTTTACGCATATGTGTCTTCTGCTGTTTTTCCTTAAGTGCACTGGAGTGCTTCGGATTCTTCCCTCTGGCATCTTGCTGACCCCGGAGACTGTGGGGCCCCTACATTGTCTGGGTGCTGGCTTCACTAGGGGTGTGGGCCTGCCCCCGCTCCTGCACGGTGCGCACGCCCGCCCCCTGCCCCAAGCCTCGGGGCAGAGCCCACGACACCCCCAGGCTGATGGTCCTGTGCTCTTTAACCTCGTCCTGGGGCGCCACATGCAGCAGCGGACTTTTCACCTTCCTGCCCTGGGCATGTGAGGCTGGACCGCTGTGGCGGGGGCTGGGGGTGGAGACCTTGGGTGGGCTTGTGCTGTCCTGGCTTTCTCCTATGAGGTGTGCATAACCCTGCGAGGTCTGTGGTTTCCCCAATGGCAGAGCCTCTCCCATGCCCCTCAACTTCTGGGGGGGTCGCACCTTAGTGATCCTGTGGTTCCCTCCCTCCCCCCCCCCAGGGAGGTGTCTTGGCTGCTCCCCATAGCAGTCCGGGCAGGGCTACCTTCTCCCGCTCCCTCCCCTGTCCTCCAGCGCCCCTCACAGGCCCATGGGCCACCTGGTTGCAGGTGGAGAATCAGGGAGACATTCTGGGGCAGCAGCTTGAGGGGCCACCCAGAGCTGTGGGGAAGGGTGGAGACTGCGCTGCAGCCCTGCCCAGCCCGTTCCCAGCCTGCACAGTGGGCACAGGCCTGCCTCTCAGGGTGGGAGGGGATGGCGCTGCGAGCTGGCGTGGGGCAGGTGGCACCCGGCTCAGGACAGGGAGCTTGTGGAGCAGGGTGGCCCGAGGCGGAGAAGCCTGGAGAGAGCGAGGTCACTTGCTCTGGGGAATGGGGCCACCTCCAGGCCCACCCGGCGCGCGCCGCCTCCCGCACACCCAGGTCGTGCTGATGCACCTGGAATGTGTCATGCTCTGCCCACTGGGCTCTTGCCAGCTGGGTGTTGTCTCCCTGCGCCGCCCGCTCGCTCTGCTCTGTCCGGCCTCCCACAGGACGGCCCCCTGGTCCCTGCATGAGGTGGTCTCCAGCTCCCCAGCCCCCTCCGTGGCTCCAGCCGGGGGCTCTGGTCTCTGGGTGCGGGTGGCTGAGTTTGCGCTGCGGAGCTGCTCCTTAGCTCTCCAGCGCTTACTCATTAGCCCTGGGCCTCTGGGCAGGGCAGTGGACGGATGAGGAAGTTGAGGCTTGGTTGCGTTTGGGGAGGTTAATAATAGTATTCTCCTTACGCATTTGTTGTGCGGATTAAATGAGGTGGTGTTACGTGCTCACCCGGACGCTGCCTGTGCCAGCTGTGACGCACGCAGGCCCCAGCTCTCTGCAGGACAGGGGGCCTTCTCATCCCTCTCTCCTGACACCCACGCCAGCCCCAGCTCAGAAGTCCTGTCTTGGCAGAAGGGGCGGTAGAGTGAGGCTCAGAGTGGGGGGTGAGTGGTCAGGGCCGCCCCGTCGGCTGCCGAGGCCAGGTGGGCCCACAGCCGTGCAGCCCCAGCCAAGCTTTGGGGTTAATGGATGCTTAATAAAGATCCTAATCTCGGAGCTACAGCCAGAGGTCCTTCCAGGACCGGTTGTGGCTGCCGGGCTCGGGCTCGTAGGGCGGGCCAAAGTCCGCTCAGTCCTGCTGGGTGTGGCAGGCTCCCCTGGTGGGGGGCTCCCCAACCCCTCAGCAGTCCCTGAGAGCTGAGGCCCCTGCGCGGGAGGCAGGCACAGAGCAGGCCTTGTCCCCTTGGTGTTCAGATTGCAGGCCAGGCTGGGCCGGCGGAGTAAGGGGCAGGCTTTATCTGTTCAAAAACAAAGTTTTGTGATTTTTTTTTGCTTACGAAATCGGGGAACACACATGGTAAGAAAAATTCAAATAACCAAATGAGAACAAAAGGGGAACACACGGAAGTAAGACTTGGCGCTGGCTGGCCTGTTTGCTCAGGAAGGGCCCTGGCGGGGACTCCGGGAGGGTGTGATCCAGCGCTCGCTGGCTGGGGCTCGGGAACCTGCCACACGCCTCGCCCCGCCCCAGAGGCGCTGCTTGGGTGGGGTGCAGGGCAGGTCACAGGGTCATTTTCTGCTCCCCCTACCCACTGCTGTGCCCAAGGAGACCTTGCGCTCCCACAGCAGGTGCCCACAGCGGGGCTTGCAGGCCTGTGTCCCCACAACTCCCAGAACCCAGAGGCTGTGGCAGCAGCTCCAGTTGAGCCCAAGGCCTCAGGCCAGAGCCCCGAGGCCTGGGGCAAGCCCCCAGCTCCACTGGGATGTGAGCAGAGCCCAGGGCAACAGTGTGAGGAAGGGAGGTGAGCTGTGCCCCTCCTTGGAGGGGAGGGGTGAGGGAGGCAGGGCCCACAGCAGCACAGCCCATGGGCTGTCTCTCAGAGGACCCCCCTGGATTCCATTTGGCCTGCTAGTGCCCTCTCTGCCCTGTCCTCAAGGCCCTCTGCTGGCTCCCCTGTCTCTGCCTGGCCTGGCGGGCACCTGCACGCTCCACCCCTGCACTTTCTTCTCACTCTGCTCTCAGAGCTGCCCCCCCCATCATGCCGCTGCACCTGCCTGCCGCCATCAGCTGTCCCTCCTTATCCTCCTGCCAGGTGACCTGCACTTTCACCTTGTGACTTTTGCCTCCATCTATAAATCTGTATTGATTCTTTGGGGTGAGTAGTTTAATAATCCGACTCCCTGATTCCACCCTGGGCTGCCCCGTTACCATGTCCTCGGGCCTGGTGCATGCAGCTGCCTGAGGGGTTGGACCCACAGGGCAGCGGTTCTCCCACATGCTCTTGCTGGCTCCTGGGGCCTGCCAAGAACGGGGTGGCCGAGCTGAGGACCTGCCAGCTCCAACCCCATGCCCGCAGTGCCAACCTCGCCAAGTGCAGTTTGGAGACACCCATTTTAATTGGCATTTCTCAGTGCATCAGTGAGGCTGGGGAGCACCTGCGTGTAGCCACGCTACCTTCTTTGGGGAGTTTTCTGTGCATGCCCTGGCGCCTATCCCCAAGGGGTCGTCTTTCTCTCGATTGGTCGGGTTTTCTTTTTTTGTTTTTTAAAGATTTATTTCCTTATGCATACAAGAACTGGGGTATAAGCCAGAGGTGAGGGGGTGGAGGGTGGGGGAGGGTTCACCATGGAGAGGGGAGCAGAACAGGCTTTGTGGGGTGCTCCACGTGCTCCCTGCTTGGCCCACGCCCCAGGCGGTCTCTCCAGCCTGTCCTTGGCCTTGGCACTGGAGCGCTGTCTCCCTCTGCCCCACAAGCTGCGACACAGCATGGTCTGCAGACCCGCCGGGACCAGCTCTGCCGCTGCTCACACGCGCGCACGCCAAGAGCCAGCTCACATGCCCCTTGCCGCACGCGCTGGGTCTGCCGCGGCCGGCCTTCACCCCACCTTCTGTAATTCACACCGCATCCTGGAGGTGTGAGTTACATGCCATAAAACTCTCATTTTAAAGGCCCAGCCCAGGGATCTTTAGTAAAGTTGCATAATCCAGTTTGAGAGCATTTCCAGCCCAGTGTCTCGGGACCGCGACGGCCCTCTCCTGGCACCCTCTGCCTGGACATGCCTCACCTCGTCTTGGCCCCATGGGCTGTCTCCACGCACCCCCCTCCCCCGCGCGCTGGCCTGGGAACCTCTCTGGTCTCTGATCCTGGGACCTTGAGCAAATATTTGCCTGTGAGAAACAAGCAGGTTTAGCGAGTAGCAGGTGGGAGGGGGGAGTGCGGCTGCAGGAGGCGGGGGCCCTTGGGAACCCCGGGAGGAAGAGGCTTAGGAAGGAGGGATTAGAGGCTTTGTGTGTTAGATGCTTGTCCAGACAAAGTTACTCCACACCGGGGCAAGGCAGGGAGCACCTAGGCCTCCACCCAGAGCAGCTCTCAGCGGACAGGCCCGAGGGCCAGCCGGAAGCCGGGCCCCGGGCAAGCTGACCTGGGAGGCGGGCCGTCTGGGGCGGGGGTACTGGGTGATGAAAGGCCACGACAAGGCCCCAGCCATCTGC